GGGGACAGAGGGGACAGAGGGGACACAGGGACAGAGGGGACAGAGGGGACAGAGGGGACACGGGGACAGAGGGGACGTGGGGACAGGGGGTGGCACTCACGATGTCAAAGAAGCACTGGCTGGCGTCGATGGTGTTGAGCAGCTCGTACACGTGGTCCTGGGGACAGCGCCGCGTGTCACCGCCGTGTCACACCGTGTCACACCATGTCACACCGTGTCACTGGCTCTGAGGGACCCTGCCTGTCCCCTGTGTCCCCCATGTCCCCTGTGTCCCCTGTGTTCACTGTGTCCTCTATGTCCCCTGTCCCCCTGTCCCCCTGTCCCCCCCGTGTCCCGGTGTCCCGTTGTCCCCAGTGTCCCCCCTGTGTCCCAATGTCCCCCCGGTGTCCCCCTTGTTCCCCTGTCCCCTATGTCCCCCCCGTGTCCCGGTGTCCCCCCGGTGTCCCGGTGTCCCCCCGTGTCCTGGTGTCCCCCCGGTGTCCCGGTGTCCCCCCGTGTCCCGGTGTCCCCCCGGTGTCCCCCCCGTTTCCCGGTGTCCCGTCGCGGTCACCCGGAACTCCAGCACGTCCAGGAAGGTTTGGTAGAACGGTGCCAGCACGCGCACGATGTCCCCTCTGTCCCTGTGCACCGGGCCCAGCTGCTGCTGCGGGGACACGGGACAGCGGGGTGGCACCAGAGGACAGCGGGGTGGCACTGGGGACAGAGGGTGGCACCGGGGACAGTGGGGAGGGGTGCGAGGAGGGGACACCCAGGGTGAGGTGACAGTGGGGACACCCAGAGTAGGGTGGCACATCCCCACAGGGGGTGGGGACACAGGGGTGGGGACAGTGGGGACACGGGGACAGCAGGGAGATGGGGACACGGGGACAGAGGGACACAGGGACACAGAGACATGGGGACATGGGGACATGGGGACAGCAGGGAGAAGGGGACACGGGGATACGGGGACACGGGGACACGGGGACACGGGAATATGGGGACAGAGGGACACGGGGACACGGGGACACGGGAATATGGGGACAGAGGGACACGGGGACACGGGGACACGGGGACACGGGGACAGAGTGACACAGGGACAGCAGGGAGATGGGGACCCGGGGACAGAGGGACACGGGGACAGAGGGACACGGGGACAGAGGGACACAGGGACAGCAGGGAGATGGGGACATGGGGACACGGGGACACGGGGACACAGGGACACAGGGACAGTGGCTCACGGTGCAGCTCCGCACGTCCAGGTGCGGGAATTTCTTCTGGATGAACTTGGCCGAGGCCTCCATGGCCTTGTCCCCGAGGAAGGGTGGCCGCGTACGGGGGTCCGAGAATGTCTGGGGGACCCCCGCATCAGAACCCTCGAAATGACCCCGAAAACCCCTCTGAGGGCTGGGACACCCCCAAAAAAACCCCAAAACTGAGACCCCCCCCTAACCTTAGATCCCCTCCAAACCCTTCCCAAAACCCCACCCACCCCAAACCTCCCAGGGCTGGGACCCCCAAATTCCCACTTAAGGCTGGGACCCCCAACCCCCCCCCCAAAACTGAGCCCTCCCCCTCCTCAGATCCCCCCAAAATTCTCCTTCAAGGCTGGGACCCCCCAAACCCCCCCTGTCCAAGCCCCTCCCTGATCAGGGCCCCCCTAAACCTCCCCTAAAACCCTTCCTGGGCTGTGCCCCCTCCCCAAATCCCCCAAACCCCCCCGTCCCTCTCTCCCCCGATGCCCTCGGCTGCTCCCCGTGGGCCGGGCGGTGTTGGGGACCCCCGGGTGTCCCCCAGGAGCGTCCCCCGACCTTTTTGAGGTTGTAGACCCGCACCAGGACCCCCCGGCCCCGCTCGTTGAGCAGCGTCAGCTTCTCGGCCAGTTTGTCCCCGTACACCGAGGGCAGGGACATGGCGGTGGCACTCGCTGGCGGCACTGGGCGGTGGCACCCCCAGAGTCCCCGAAAGGCCCCAAACCCCAACTTCCCCTTCCTGGGCCGGGCCCGGCGGCGCCGGGGCCACCGGGGCCACGTGACGGAGCTGCCAGCACCCCGTGACACCGCGGGGACAGGGGGACCCAAAGGGGGCACAGAGTTAAACCGGGGCCTGGGTCCTAAACCGGGGTCTGGGTCCTAAACTGGGGTCTGGGTACTAAACTGGGGTCATGGTCCTTAACTGGGGTCTGGGCGCTAAATTGGGGTCATGGTCCTAAACTGGGGTCTGGGTACTAAACTGGGGTCTGGGCCCTAAATTGGGGTCTGGGTCCTAAACTGGGGTCTGGGTCCTAAACTGGGGTCTGGGTACTAAATGGGGTCTAATCCCGAAATTGGGGTCACGGTCCTAAACCAGGGTCATGGCCCTAAACCACGGTCTGGGCCCTAAATTGGGGTCATGGTCCTAAACCGGGGTCACGGTCCTAAATTAGGGTTTGGGCCCTAAATTGGGTCCGGGCCCTAAATCGGGGTCATGGTCCTTAATTGGGGTCTGGGCCCTAAATTGGGGTCACGGTCCTAAACCGGGGTCTGGGTACTAAACCAGGGTCTGGGCCTGAAATTGGGGTCTGGACCCTAAATTGGGGTCACGGNCCCTAAATTGGGGTCACGGTCCTAAACCGGGGTCTGGGTACTAAACCAGGGTCTGGGCCTGAAATTGGGGTCTGGACCCTAAATTGGGGTCACGGTCCTAAACCGGGGTCTGGGTACTAAACCAGGGTCTGGGCCTGAAATTGGGGTCTGGACCCTAAATTGGAGTCTGGGTCCTAAACCGGGGTCACAGCCCTAAATTAGGGTTTGGGCCCTAAATTGGGGTCTGGACCCTAAATTGGGTCTGGGCCCTAAATTGGGGTCTGAGTCCTAAATTGGGGTCTGGGCTCTAAATTGGGGTCATGGTCCTAAACCGGGGTCATGGCCCTAAATTGGGGTCTGGGCGCTAAATTGGGGTCATGGTCCTAAACCGGGGTCACGGCCCTAAATTAGGATATGGGCCCTAAATTGGGGTCTGGGCCCTAAATTGGGGTCTGGGCCCTAAATTGGGGTCACATCCCTAAACCGGGGTCACATTGCTAAACCAGGGTCTGGGCCCTAAACCGGGGTCTGGGCCCTAAACCGGGGTCACAGCCCTATATGGAACCAATTCGGGTCCGTGGAACCCAAATTCACTCGTATTTGTCCCCCTTTAGGGTCCCATTTACCTCCAAACTGGTCTCATTTATCCCCACTCAGGGCACCCCAATCTGGGCCCTTTTACCCTAATCTTGTCCAATTTTACCCCAATCTGGACACTTTTACCCCAATCTGGGCCCATTTACCCCAATCTTGTCCAATTTCACCCCAATCTTGTCAATTTTACTCCAATCTGGGCCCATTTCCCCCAATCTTGTCCAATTTTACCCCAATCTGGACACTTCTACCCCAATCTGGGCCCTTTTACCCCAATTTTGTTCAATTTTACCCCAATCTGGGCTTATTTACCCCAATCTGGGCCCATTTTGCCCCAGTTTGGGCCTAGATGGCCTAAACCAGGCCCATAAAACCCCAATTTGGGTCTTTTTGACCCTAATCTGGGCCCATTTACCCCAAATTCTCCCCTGTTGCCATCGATGCTGTAATTTTTAACTCATAAAATGTTTTCAGTTAACCAAAACAACCCTTTCCATCCCCAAATCCAAGGACACTGTAAGAGCCTCAACCCCAAAAACTGTAAACAACAGCGAAGCAGGAGGATGGAGCTTCATAACCCAAAAGCCGTAATTAGACAATCAACCCCAATATGCAAATGAACCAAAACTTAGAAAAGTGTGAAAACACAAAAATAAAAATTTTTTTTTAGGCCATTTTGTGACCAGCTCGGGTTGAGCCCCGGCCAGGCTCTTGTACTTTAAGGCCTTTTAATCTGGAGTTTTCAATGAGTTTTTCATTTAACTTAGGGATAAAACTTTTAATTTTTAATCAATTCGGGATTTATCTTTTAGCTCGGGCAGGGCGTTGCCATGGCGACGGCGCGCGGCGCCCCCCGGCGGCTCGGCGGACGCGAGCGGCGCCCGTTGCCATGGGAACGGCGACGCTGCCGTAAAGCAGAACCGGCACCGGCGCGACCGGACCGGGACAGCACCGGGACCTCTGGGACCGGACTGCGACAGTGGGACGGGACTGGGACCGAACCGGCACCGCTGGGACCGGAGCGGGGCAGAACCGGCACCGCCGGGACCGGACCGGCACCGGACCGGCACCGCCGGGACCGGACCGGGCCAGAACCGGGACCGGTGGGACCGGACCGGGACCGGACCGGCACCGCCGGGACCGGACCGGGCCAGAACCGGGACCGGTGGGACCGGGCCGGCACCGCTGGGACCGGACCGGGCCAGAACCGGGACTGCTGGGACCGAACCGACACCGAACCGACACCGAACCGGCACCGAACCGGGACCGCTGGGACCAGACTACGACCGGTGAGACCGAACCGGGACTGAACCGTGCCCGGCGGGACATAACCGGTACCGAACCGTGCCCGCCGGTACCGGCTATGGAGCCCGACGCGCTCGTGCAGTGCCCGTACGACCGGAACCACCAGGTGCGCGTGTCCCGGCTGCCGTATCACCTGGTGCGCTGCCAGCAGGTGCGCGGGACACCGGGACCGGGGCGACACGGGGGGACACCGGGAACGGGGTGGACACCGGGAATGGGAGGGAACGCCGGGAACGGGGGGACACCGGGAATGGAAGGGGACACCGGGAACGGGGGGACACCGGGGGGACACCGGGAACGGGGGGGGACAGCAGGAGCTGTGAGGGGTCCCTCGGTTTTGGGGTCCAGGACCTGCCAGGGGAGACCATAAGGGTCTGGGGTCTGTGGGAATTGGGGTCTGCGGGAATTGGGGTCTGGGGTCTGCGGGGGTCTGGGGTGTGCGGGAATTGGGGTCTGCGGGAATTGGGGTCTGGGGTCTGCGGGAATTGGGGTCTGGGGTCTGCGGGGGTCTGGGGTGTGCGGGAATTGGGGTCTGGGGTCTGCGGGAATTGGGGTCTG